GTCGAGGTATACAATAAATATAATAAATCTTGTAGAGTATCAAAAAGAATTATCTAGAATAGGTATCGTTAGACGTTCCATTTTCTTTGTTCTTTTTTTTTTGCTTTTTCTTTTTTTCTCTTCTTCGCGCGCTTCTTTTTCTCTCTCTTCGCAAGTGACGAGATATCTTGACGATTTACAAAAAAACGAATACTTTTCTCTTTTCGGAATTGTTTTGTTTTGATAGTCTTTCTAATACTATTTGTTGCGAGGCCTATCGTCGATCGAGAAACCGGAAGTCGCAGCCCCTTCACAAGGGGTGCGCGCATATGTATGTGTGTGTATTTGTGAACCATCGCGAGAAACATCGAGTCAGCCGTGATACACAGTTAGACAGGCGTTACGTAGGGCTTGGTGAGTACCAAATTCCGAAAAAACACTTTTGTTATTTCTTTTTTTTTTTTTTGTCGCTTTTCTCTCGTCTTTTTCTTCTTCTTCTTCTTTGTTAGATCGGCTTGAAAAAATTACCTATATAATTATATAGAATATACATCTGTGTAGTTTGTTTTTTTTTGTTTTTTTTTTTTTTGTTTTTCTTTCTTTCTGTAGATAGATTAAGATCACATGCCGCCAGGTTTCGGAAGATTTGTATCGTAAGCTCTGATTACATCCGTCTGTGTCACCGAGCCTCCTTCCTCTTGAGAGAACGCGAATCCATCTGCATCGTGCAGCATGTGCAACAATAAAGAGCGCAACCTATTAGTCTCTGTTATCACAACAAACAATAGGTGAACTTGGTGCATGCACAAATCTACCAGGAGTAAGGACTGATTAATTTTTGTTTCTTTACTGTTATCGACATATTGGAATGCTAAGAACTCTATACTACATCCTCCAGCAGGAGGATTTTAAAGCTACGATAAAGGGCAACAGTGAAAGTTAGTACTGACGAAACGAAGGTTAGTGAAACTACGAGATAACGTTAGTGCAACTTATCGTCTAATACAGTAATTACAGCGTGTGTACACTGTTCGAAGCGAGAAAATAAAGTGCAAGTGCGGATATATCGTGAAAAATTGCTTGTTTCAACGAGTATCTTTCGCTCTTTTCCGAGTGTTATTTGTCTGTTTTTTTTTTTTTTTTTTTTTTTTTTTTTTTTTTTGGTTTTAATAGGCGAAAGCCGTGAAGAAACGAAGCGCGTGCTTTGGATAGAAGGTTATTCTGTTAAGAACGAGTTGAAAATAGGAAAATAAAAAGTACCAATAAACGGCGAGCATAGAAGACAAAGAATCTGTACAAGGTTTTCATCGTTCTTATTGTTACTCTTGTTTCTTTTCTTTTCTTTTTTTATTTCACTCTCGATTCCAGTCCGTTGATAGAACAGATTAGACAACTTACGTGATAGCTCCACCTCGACATTAACTCTGGAGGCGGCGTTTGATCGCCTGGAGAATACACTTTTTACGTTTTTCAGTAGTCTCGCTGTCTCCGTCAATCTGGAAAGCCGTGCATTCAAAAATTGTGTTAGAAACACTGGTCTGCCTTGTTGTTCGTCCACAACCCCTTACACAGTTCAAAATTCAGTACACGTCCATGAAACACGTGTCTACTCTTTTAAAAGAAAAACACCCCTCGACAATACGTTCGACGATCGTTATATGTTTCTTGACTGGCTACCCGATGATTATTTATCTAAGGTGAAGATCATGCAGTGCTGGCAATACTAATTATCACCGTTGCAAGATTCTTTTGTCGGTTCTTTCAGATTTGTGTCTTCTACGAAACTGTCTCTTTTCTTCAAAATTTTCATGTATAAATCGTACGTGAAATATAATTGTATGTAAGATCTAAGATATTTAGACAATATGTAATTATCTTAACACTTAAAGCGCCGGCTATTTTGTTAGAAACTTTACTCAAAGCGCCGCGATATTTACGAGTTTTGTAGAAGCATGCACTTTTACAAAATCGAATAAAATAACTCTTGTAAAACGGGAAATTTCTATTGAAAAATTTTATATAGTGCTTACTACAGGCACAGCGACGATTTTTAATCATAAATATTCAGCCACTTGCTGTTCAAGAGATATATTACGCCTTAAAGCGGGTACGGCGCTTAAAGTGATATGCTGTGTGATGCATTAAGGGGGTAGGTTACCTTTGAAATCTTCAAAAATTCGATATTTGAATTTTTGCATATTCCAATTGCTGCATCTTTTCCGCGTATTTTAAGCCCAACCAGATATATAAGACCCTTTCGTTTTATGTCTCAGAAAATTCACCTGTCCGGAACAATGTTCACCATACGATCATGCGGTTTGATTAATTAGCGGTGCATTCGCCTGAAAGTGTAGTATTACAGGAGCGCCTACGAGTTACGTTACTACTGGGGGTACTTACACCTCGCGAGGTTGGCGATGGCATGCACAGGCCTTCACGGGATACCGCGAATAAAACATACCAGAAAACCGCATTAACAAACAGAGTAGTTGCTTCATACTGACAAAGTGTTAGTTTTCTTTTTTCTTATTTTTTTTCTTTTAAAGCTAGAGGATTAGAGTTTAGTCTCGAGACATCCACGTGTCCGTACTATTTACAACGAATATAGATTATCCCAGCTTGAACTCTACAACGCGAACGAAAATAGAACAAACGTACACGACGACTAAAAATAAGAAGGAAAAATTTCTCTTGCTATCTTTAAACGTTCATATTCACGCCACTTTCGAGGAAGCTTTGACTTTTAGTATTGGCCGTTTAGACGTAGAATTAACAATTCGCACTGCAACTCGTTGAAAAAGAAATGAGAAACTGAATACAAAATGAAAAATGAGAGATTAGCGATAGGATTTAACAGAAAGATTGAAATGAATTTCTTTTTTCCTTTGTTAGTATTTGTTGCTTAATAATTAAGAATTACTAGATGATTCTACTTCTACTAGGGTAGGAAGTGAAGAAAACATTACTTTGTTGTTATATTGTATAGAAATGTATAATAATAAACAATAAACGTTGGTACTACAACAGATGTATAAGACAACAACATGGATCTATAAACAGTCTCTAAGATGTATAATACTCAACATGGTAATAGACGTACAAAAATAGTTAACATGTACAACACGTTGGAAGTAAGCGGATGTTAGGGAGAAGGTAAAACCGGGAGTATATTTAAATATCGGGATGCTTACGGATTCCACAGTGGACGGGAATTTGTAGAGAGTCTTTTAGGAACGTGGAACACGGAATGGTGTAGATGAGACATGCTCTGTATGGTGAGTGAACCATAGATCGCGGGCCGCGAGCGCAATCGGGAAGACTCTGATCATATTTCGCCTGCGTGGTGACCAGAGCAAGGCCCAACACCGAATTAACCATCGCCTCCTCGAACACATCGATTTCCTGTTGCAATTTCGATATTTTCTACTCAATCGTAATATCTTCAATGTTAAGCATATGAGTTTTCTTTGGAAAATTTGCTAGTGTAAATTATGAGAAGATTATCATTAGCCTGTGGAGAAAAAAAAGGAAAAAAAAAATTGTCTACTAATGAAAGCAATCTGTAAGTTTCACTTTTATCAAGGCTGAGACAGTATACTGCTGTATATGCATGCACCTAAGGTGATTAGTTAGTTTTTGAAAAAGAATTTTGATGGATAATTGTTAAGAAAATATAATCTTTCGTTTCTATTGTGAACGGTAGTAGTTTGTTAAAATGTTACATCCAATAAGCCATGCATATTTTACAATAATAAATCATTTCTTTCTGTTAATCTACCAATATATTTCATGCAGTGTGTACGCTGTCGTATTTCCGGATAAATGCGAATTTCTAACAGCATGTGAAAATATATTGATTCATAAATTATCGATACGAACTACTAAAAGCATTTCCCTTTCTTCTACGACGAATTTCTTTAGTTATAATCACGTGTATTTTATCAGTTAAATCTGTTCCTTTTTCATATATCAATGTGTAACAAATGAACGTAAAGAAACTTACGAGCTTCTATAGTCATGGCTGTTGAATATGTCCCCGGGGTCAGATTTCCGTATCTCGTTTTCCCTAGCTGCCGCAGTTACGGATTTCCACACTGTATTCTTCACTCTATAACCAAACACGTTTCACATACGTTTTATCATCATACTAAAAAACCAGATTACAAAATGTTGAATGTACAAATACTTACGCTTTAACTGTAACATCCAGAAGTAGTACTGCTGATGGTATAAGTACCAAACCCAGCCAGAAAACAGGCGAAGAAAACAGCATCCTATCATTGCCTAACATCACTGCACCCACATTTAAAGGAGGCCAGAAATTACTGAAAATGCATCAATTGTTAAAAATTATTGTAGTATTTTTAACGTATATAAAATACAAATATACCGAGACATTTACCTATATATAAAAATAAATAAGAACCATAGCACAATAGATCCCCACGTTGCTAAATGAGTAACCCACGTCCAGGAGTTTATTATTAATCCCGCTTTGCCACATACTGTCACTACAACATACTAACAACAAATAAAAATATAATTATTTTTTCTGTAAAAAAGTGATTTTATTAAAAATTGACGATACAACAATATAATTCTATTATTGAAACGTACAGTATACACAAAATTTCCTAAAACGATGTAACCACCATCTCGACCGTTTCCCCATACCACGCCTTCTTTTAGAGCCATTAGTGATAGCCAATAAAGGAGAGATGAATGTATTAAAGCATTTGCTATCCAAATCCAAAACACCTGTATAAGTAATATCAACACTATATAAAGTACAATATTACGAATAGGATATTTTTAAACGAAAAATATAATACCTTAATGTTAAACGATGATTCACCAGTATTCTTCGTGGCATACATTCCTGGATGAGCTAAATGAGTATCCGCGGAACATACTTTATCAAAAAGTCCCATAGCTAATGGAGGTGCTGCTGTAAATACCTAATGTAAACAGTTTATCTTGTATATATTGCGATACGGCACATGTATTGTGACGGTAAAGTAAGTTCACAACTTACAACATTATAAAGACCGATCGACCATCGCTCGAAAAGGATTTGCCCGGACCAGCCGGAGTAAATAGCAAACCACAGTTCAATGACATACAGACAAATATTTTTATAGAACGAATACAGTATTAGTTTACACATTCTACTGTAGTTCCACGAGCCATGAACGAGCAATAAGCGTTTCAGAAAACGAAACTGCGCAATAGAGTAATCAGAAGCACAAGCTGCTTGAAGACCTTCAACGCCAGAAATACCTAGAAGTATGAAATTGATGTTGATAATATACACATCTCTTATTTGATAATATACAAGACTAATGTGTAAATAATCTTACCAACACCAATATGGGCTTTCTGGATCATTGCTACATCATTTGCACCATCTCCAATTGCAAGTGTCACAGCTTTTTTATTACTCGTAATTAAATCAACCACCTGAAAAACCCTGTTATTTTATTGAATTGCTTTTATCGAGAAATAACATAAACATTCAAGTAAAAAGACTTCAACGCGTTTAAGATTGTGTAATATATAAAAAATCACCTCAGCTTTCTGCATTGGCGACACTCTGCAACAGATAACAACCTTGCAAGACGAACATAAATCCAGAAAGTCCATTCTAGTATCACAGGATAATGCAAATTCTAACGTATTTCCATCTATAATAAGAGCTACGTCATTTTGACACTTTAAATCGATCCCGAAGTCAAGACAACGCTGTATTATAACTTCTCTTGTTTTCTGGAAATAAATATGGATTGTGATAATACTGCCTAGAAGAACTTAAAAAAAATATTAATTTTCCTTACATCTAAAGATGATTCGTTAATGATATACAATGGCATTCCGTGTGTAATCAATCTACAAGAGTAGCCGATGTTAATAGCCGTTTCTTGTTTATCTCCGGTTAATACCCAAACATTAATGTCAGCTTGTAAAAGAGCCTGTATCGTTTCTGGTACCTACAATAATGCGTATTATTATCATTCACCTTTGAGAACATACGAGAATCCAGATTAAACATACCTGATCTTGTAATTGATCTTCAATAGCAGTTGCTCCCAATAATCTTAACTTTGTTTCAATAAGATTCGCGGCAATGTCAATCATATTATCACGGTTCCCCATACTAATTGTTGCATTGTGATACGTTTCACGCCACCACTGTTAAAAAGAATTGTTTATGTTACAATTTTGTGGAAAGTAATGTATACCAAGTAAAGTAACACTACAAAATATGAACCTGGTAAAAACTGTCAGGTATATCTGCAACAGCGAAACAAAGTGTTCTTAAACCATCGGATGCAAATGTTTCCAGATGCTCTAAAGTTACATCTCGAAAATCGTCCAAGCCTTCCTGATCAGGATCACTATTTTCTACGGGAGCTGAACCTAATCTTTCGTATATAACGGAATCAGCTCCTTTACAAAAAAGTTTGATTTTTCCATCTGGTGTTTTTACAATTATCGACATTCGTTTTCTCGCTGACGTAAATTCTATTACATTTAATACTTCATATCGAAGTCTTTCACCCAAGGCTATTATTTCCACATAAGCGGGTGTCCTAGTATCAAATACGTAATTAAATTTACGCGCTCCATCTACTAGGGCCCTTTCATCTATCAAAATAAGTACATCAAAAATTAAACAATGAACAATATCCTATAAGAATAAACTTCTGTTAGATTCATTACCTGGCGATGCAGCATGATAAATTATAGTATCATCGATCTTCTCGGGAATTACCGTATGACACACGGAGAGCATAATCATGAACTCATGCACTATTTTTGCATGGTTCGCAGCCTTTTTATCAGCGGGACGAGAAGAACCTTCTAGCAACTTTCCTTCGACAATATCTCTAACTAGCTCACTATTGATACTACTACTATCTTCATCACCATTAGAATTTGGAATCGGCAAACTGTAAAACAATTTTTTTGTAGCAAACGATCAAATAAATTAAAATAGTGCACATGAAACTGCTTGAAACACTTACTCGTACATTTTACCACCAATTGAACATCGTTTAAATTCCATTACATTTCTTGTTAAAGTTCCAGTTTTATCAGTAAAAACGTAATTAACCATACCAAGTTCTTCATTAAGATTACTTGTACGAGCCATTGCAGGAGTATCTGTTTCTGCATGGTACATTTCAATATCCATATTAATAAATGTAGCTTGAACAAATCTTACTACTTCCAATGTGACTTGTAATGAAATGGGTATTAAGTTATTGAATAAAATAATAAACGTTAAAAGATTAAAAGCAAAGTTTTTCGTCATTTCCTCTGAAATAAACAAACGAATACTTAGTTTTATAATTGCTATGATATATCACCATGTACAAAGAAGTGAAGAAGATAATCAGTTTTTCACCTTGCAAACCTAAATACCATAATCCTTCATTATGAGCTTTAGTCCAAATAATATTAAATACTGCAGATAAAATACACAGCAAAAGAAGAATAAAGAATAACATGAGTATTTGTGTATTGGTCAGTCGATCCAAAGTGGATCTTTTCAAGGGTGCAGTTGTAGTATTGTTTTGCATAAGTTTTGTATCATGGCCTGTATAGATGACTACGCCAAACACCCAACGTGTATTCCTTAACATTGCTCCACGAAGTAATACTTGATCAGGTCCCAAAGGTACACTTCTAAAAATTGATATACACATGGCACACGTGCAATTATAACTTTTTCAAATTCTTATAAAATGTAATCATACTGTCTGTTGGTTCCTCTCAATACTCCATTGAATTCATACAAATGCCTGTTTGGTGGTTCACACTGAATGTTTGCACGAAAATTCATTAATTCTGCAGTATCTAAAATACTGGCAGTGTCAGGATGGGCTTGTCTTATCTTCAGATTTGTTTCTCCGTCCAAATTGGCAGTCTCTATGAAAGACATACCCTGTGGCTCCGATGATGCCAATAATTCTAGCAGGGTATGTTAATTGATAATAATTTCCATATCCATGAGATTGAAGAAAATAAGATATAACCTTAGCAACATCACCAACAGCAACATTTCTCCACTGTATCCACTGCCAGTGACCATCCCTTAAAACTTCCACTTCACGCATATTTATTTCATCATCTGCTCTATGCCTTTTCTGTAATAAAGAATAATATTATAGTATTTTCCGATAAATAACAAAAGGTAACTCATAATTAAGGGTACCTACAATATCCTCAACTATTTCTTTTAATGCAGATACACTAAGAATGAAGATTAATGGAACCAAAGTTGTGTATCGACCTGTTGGTGACACATCCGGTATTTGCTAAAATTAAATAAAAAATTGTTTTTATAACAATTAAAAAAAAATTTTTCCGATAAAGATTTACAATAAGAATATGTATAATTTTTAAAATAATACCTGCATGAGGGCGATGAATAGGAAGAAACAATTACTGTACCGACGAAATTGTTCAAAAAGGAACATAGGTATAAACGAAAGTAATGAGTACTTCGCGGTAGAAATGCGATTGTTTTTATATTTCGCTGGCTGATGAGGAGCATTTACGAAAACCACCCTCTCTTCACTGCTATCATGTTGGTGCGAAGACCGCTGATCGTCACCTTGGGACGCACCATTTTCCGCCCTTATGGGACCAACTAGGATAAAGAATAATCGTTTTATGTACACTAATATCTTCTTTATTAACACAATATCATATATGTATGTCTATAAAATTATTTCAATTTTATAACTCCACGATTATTTCGGAAAACTTTTGGTTCAAAATTACGAGGTGCAATCGTTGCCAAAAAAAAATTTCATCGTTATTTCTTTATATTGATATTATAAGAAGTAAATACACATTAGTTATCGTCGTTCTATAAATAACGAAATTCAAAGAAAATTCTTATCTGGCCATAACGGTGTTCACGTGTTTAACTCAAACATTTATCCATATATGCATTTTCTTAATATGTTGACTTACGATTTTGAGCGTACAAATAAAGATGAAAACGGGATCTCAGTTCGTTGAACCATTGTATCACTTTTGTAACAGCTACTTCCATGTTGCCGTTTGCTAAATGAAATGTCTCTCACATCACTTCTGTTTGAGAATTCGATTCATATTTCACGTGTGATAAGGCAATACTGTACGTACACAATCTCACACATTTGATAATGCAATTAATGTGATGAAAACAATTCGAGGTTATAAAATCAGTAATATTCCATATTACTTTCGGTTAAATTATATGGAAAAAAGAAAATTATAACAATCGAACCTGAACTAGAGCCGGGAGAGAGAACTTAATCGTTTCACTATGTTATTCAAACCGAAAGTGACGTAGTTGAACATTGTATTATCATCTTGGAGGTTATAGCTGCATATCTAAAGAAGAATCCATAGAAAGCTTTTTTTATCGCGCTCAATAAGAATGATACTAACCGACGGGAACTCTTTCGAATGTTAATAACATCCAATGAAAATAATCTCCCCTTTATCGCATAATATGTTGATATAATTTTAATTTATTACAACTACATTTATTTCTACTACAAAACGTGACAACAAAAAGTTAATAACGTATGAAATGATTATTCGTAAAAAGAAAAAAAATAGTATAAGATAATTATATTAATAAAAAGCATATATTATATATTTATTGCAGTGTTGAATATCGAAAGATTGTACATATAAAGTAATTACAGTTTTTTTAAGGCATATCTTTCATCATGTAAATTTGCCAAATGAAGGTTCCTTTCAAGGGCACACGAATATGTCAATACTACGAACAACAAATGTATCGATGTGAGCATTATCACTTCCATACAGGAAGACTGAATACATGCATGCGTTCAATGTGTTTCTAATCCTATCTGCCGAACTTGTATCGTATTACGGAAAACAAAAATTGCGTAATATCAAATTTAGATATGGAAGTTACGTGCGTGCACGCAAAATATTTAAACTCGTATACCCCATCGTTTCTCAACGCCAATCATGTAACAATTACTTCCGGCGGTATATTAACTATCCGTACGTCACCACTACTAAAACAGTTGTATAACAAGTAAATCAACATGATTAATATTGAAAATGAGAAAACAATATATTCGATATAAGAAGATCCATCAAATTTTTTAATAGATTCAACGACAGATGAGAAACATATGACGTTAATGAAACAATGACTTTAGAAAGTGTACATTAAACGTGCTCTAAGTTATTCGCTATCGATCAAATAGTTATCGACAAAAAGTGATTGACTACTTTGACATCTCGTAGACGACATCGAACCTTTTTTTAATTCACCGAAAGAAGCCAGTACAGACAGTCAACATTTCATAAAACCGGTGCACACTTTTTATCCAAAACAACAGTTAGCATACACTGACTGAAGAGTTTTCTACTCGAGATAACGATCGGTTAAACAAACTACATATCTGCGTCATCGTGCCGGAAGAAGCCTCGCGCCTGTCGCCACACCCCTACCAACGCTACTGAACAGGGAATATGTGTAACGCACAGGCCAACAGATTAATCCACATTAACTGTATTATCCGAAAAATTAGGAGTGTTTCCCAAAACTTCACGAACGAAAAATTCCCGTGACCATATCACGCCAGCAAATTTGCTCGAGAGACACTGATTTTAGTACGTAGGTGGCACTGGTCATCAGTGGCTTCTTTACCGAGGTATATGTATATGGCCCATTAGATTGTCAACGGTCGGATAATTTATACACGCTATTTACGTTGCTCGCATCACATATTTTCGTCAACGGTCATTAACGTTCGATTTTCATTCACACTCCTTACAAGAGAATGAAAAATTGCGAAAAATATGATTACAACTAAACAAAGGAGAAAGAAAATTACACGATATAAGAATAATCCAATAGACGAATATATTCGTGTATCGAACTTTGCAGCGTAAAATACCGATAAAACACGCTTGAAACATCGAATATTTGGACAGCGAGAGATACGGGTTCCTAAATGGTTTAGTACACTACTGACGAAGGGGGTGTCCACAAAATGCGACAGCCCTGTACACGTGTTACCCTGAAAACGCATGCGCCCGCTACCGGCAACAAGTTGGCGTCAGCGCTGTGCTGTACTCCACCAGCACTTTCCGTGAATACGGAGACGTGTACGGTAAGGTTGCGTCAATAAACAACCTCGCTGCTCGCAGACTATGGGCCAAGGACACCTCCGCTGGGGTGGGCTCGAGGTAAAGTCCCGCACCACTGATATCGTACCTTATTGGACAATCCGTTCATGCTACTTTGATAAAAGTATAACGATATATACGGTCTACGGAGCCGAAAAATCTTATTGAATCACTCCCTTTTGTTTCTTTTTCAAATAGACTATAAAATTAACTTCTAAATTACCTATAAAATGCGTTTAAAACTGAAAAAATATCAACGACTGTCTAGATCAATGAAAGCATTATCCATGTACAGAAGGACAGTATCGAAAGCACTGAATAGATTCTAATACACAAACCTATCATTAAAATCCAGTAAATACCAGATATTTCAACGACACACAATATCACACATGCACGGCTGACCTTTGAATACTACAGATGTAGAGCCACGACTATAAATTTTGTGTAACTGTAAACTTGTGTGTAAACTGTTACAACTTCGTAACTACCCACCGCATCACAACCGTTTATATATACACCCGAACCTTGCTATTTTTACTTCATTATTGACAACCAGGGAATTTTCCGTAACCGTCAATTACATCGAATAGACTATAAACTGTGTACTCTTACCTTCGGAACTTCTCTCCGGTCCCCCAGCCTCCTGAAGTTCGATATGTTCGCGTGTCCTTCGTCGTCCGCTCGCCAGAGGGTCTATGCGTAGGCCAATATTATCGACGTTATCGATATTGCCGAGATCGATGGGACTACCGATGATATAAGGGCCGGTCTGTTCTTGTGCTCCATCGTTGTTCGCTCGACCGCTCGTTGATGAGGAACTGTTATGAACACCGCCGCTTTGCGGGGATGTACCGTCCATATGAGGTATGGAAGAAAGATCCGGAGGTGTGAATGGACGTAACGAGCCAGGACTGGGAACCCGGGGGTTCCCCCTGGCAGTTGGTTGCATTGAACGCAGCGGGGCCTAAATCAGTTGGAATTCGTTAATTTCACTAATAGCAGCCATCTTGAGCAACAGGCTTGGGGAGGAAGAAATCTGTTAGCACATTACCGACCATACGAATCACACTTGAGTAAGCGCTTAAGTATTTTAACGCGATTCAAACATTATAAATAACGTTGTTACTCTATTATCGCGTTGACCATCGTAGTCAATGGGCGAATTTATCTTTACATTTCAAGGTTAGGTTACGATTGATTGATTTGAATTGAAAATTTGTTACGACCTAGCACTTATTCGGTCAATCGATTCGTAGACGTCAGTTTTCGAATATTTTACTGTACTGTTATTCGAACTGGTACGACTTTTAAACTATCGTATTGAGATCTCTCGAGTAGCTTAAGTGGAAATAGGAAGACTTGGATTCGAATCGAGATTTACAAACGCGGATTCGCTCGGTGATATTTGTGCGCTATAGAACGGACGAAGTTATGTAGAGACGTGTTTCGAAAACGAAAGAGACGACGAGCGTAGGTGAATTCGTGAGCAAGATAGCAATCGGCCAGTAAAATATGATAGTCGTTCGAGGAACATAACCTGCGATGATGTAATGCCGATGTTAAGAATACACGATGCGTCGATGTAGGTGTATTTCAGAGAACCTCGATAAGTGTTACAAGCTTTTCCAAATGATTTTAACGCCTCCACCACGTGCGTCACCATTTATTTAACTTATATGCTACGCTCTGTTAATTATTTACGCGAAACGGAAAATCCAACGAGGAAGGGAGAACGTTTCTCTGGAGTTATAACAAGAACGAACGAGACGATGCGGTTTAGTCTAGGTTTGGTCACTGTCTCGAGATCTTTTCTGGATACTCGAAAAATGCTGACTGCTTGGATACCGCGGTACCATTAAAATCGAAGGGAAATATTGATGTTCTGGCCGTGCACAAGGCACGATTCACGATACCGAAGTACCGTTAGGACTTTGCGATAATTAACGGTTACGCGACGATAATTCGACAACGTTCGTATTCGTTCGTCGGTGTATATTAACGTAACAATGTGAACGGATGAATGCAGGTTGTGACATTTCGTAGACAATAGCCTTTTAACGTTGGAAAAGTATTAGGTCACGTCCCTATATGTTCGTGTCGATTTTTAGAATTTTCATCGATATTTCTCATTTTTCCCCCACTTTCATAGCTTTCCCCTATTTTTTTTTTACAAGATTGTTATGTCGTCGCTACAGAATTTCCTTCGATTTTCACTGAAATATTTTTAAGTTTGGGACTTAAAGCATGACCTAATATTATAACTTGCAAGAGAAATAAAACGAAAAGGGTGAATAAAATGGTACTCGTTTGACGGACGTTGATAAATCAGCTGTGCAACCTAACCTTTAAATTTGATAATAAAAAAAAGAAACATAAGCATCGTCTCATTTTTTTCCACTTTCACAACCTTTAGTAAGATTATGTCGTTATGGAATTCCTTGGATTTTCGCTAAAATATTTTTCACACTCGAACTTACGGAACGACCTAATGTTACAGCTTACGAGAGAAATAAATCGAAAAGGGTGAATAAAATGGTAATCGTTGGATGGACGTTGATAAATCAGCTGTCGTCGTATCAAGCGTGAACAATTGTGAGGAAATCTACGTAAAATTCACCTTGACACAAATACCAAACTGTCGTTTTTCAAGTGATATTTTCCTTGGCGTGATTATCCCCTAATAAATTCGTACGTTTCGAATGGGGGGCAATTTATGAAAGAAACAAAGGCGTAGTTTGTGTTCTTTAAAAAGAGAACACCTATATATATATATAGAGAGAGAGAGAGATTAACGAATATATTACTCACGATTTTCAATCGAGTAGGCCAAGGCGGATTTCTGGCGGCCGTCCTTTTCGATCGTTTTCGCCTTTCTCAATGGTCGAAACTTCTTTTCGTCAGGCTCTATCAGGCCTTCGTTGACGTGCGCGTACAGAAATAATTCATTCTTCCTAATCTTCGTTAGAAACAATAACGCGGCAACAGTTGCTAGAGCTTATCGGGTGCTTTAGTCGTTTCCTTATCTACTTTACGAAGGCACTTCGTTTCCCAACTAACTCGCCAACCGACACCAGGTATTTCCACCAGGTAAAAAGAGAGAGAGAGAGAGAAAAAAGGCGCACAGATCTTCCTCGTTCGCAATATGCGGTACAACGCAAGAGTCAAAGTTTCAGTTTCGTCACGCTAGCTTATTCAACGTCGTGTGGAACAAGATTAAGTAGTAAACACGAGTCTCTGGTCAGACGAGTTTCTACAGACAAGTATCGCAACTTTCCTGCGACCAGAAACGAAATTCACGTGATAGATATAGATCTTAGCCTGTACAGCTCGTCGTACCACAGAGCAGGTGAGAGACGAACGTTTATCGCGACACAAAAAGATATCACTCTCTCTCTCTATTATCTCGATCCTACATCGGGACGAACGATCGAGAGTAAACGAAAAGAAGTTCTTTTTCAAACAGTGCAAACAAACACCAGATTCAACTTGTAGAACGAACACCTTGTCGATAACACGCCGTAACGTGCACTGTGTTGCAAAATACACTCCGTGAAGTCTCTGCCACTGCGAGAATTCGATTCTTCCCTGAACCGACGATCAATCATCACAGCGATAAAATTACTCGATCGCGACATATGTGAAGAACGTAAGCTACGAAACTTCGCGACTAGGTCAAATGTGTGTACAAATTTCTGGCCCAATTTCTATCGATTATCATCGTCGTTGTTGTTTTTCTTTTTATTTCTTCCAATTCACGGAATTGTCGTGCACGCACTTCGACGTCAAACACACAAAACGCGCGTATAGAACAGAGGGTAGGAGAGAGAGTAGCGATCAATGAAAAAAAAAAACGTGGAGACAGTGTCTTGGTTCACTCGCGATCGATAACTACCGATCTCATTGATCCGGTCAATAGTGGAAATACACGCGTTCGGTATCGAGGGTGTTACGAAATGTGTATAAAGCACGTAACTTACGTGAAAAGCAAACAATTTCCGTAGCGTTATTACGTACGTGTATTATCATCGCTTAGTGCTCATTAATTCCCGACGATGAAATATAATTGATGGCGTATGGAACGGAACACACGTCGTGTAATCAAGATACCTCTTTACTCGAAGCGATGTACCGGGTCGATGTAATCGAACGTTCAGGTTGACGCAGTACCGCTCCAAACGCATTATCTAATCGAAGATAAAAATATC